GTCACCCTGGGTCTTGCTGAGCCTTTCTCTGTAACTGTCTTGGGCCCGCTTTGAAGACATGGCACTTATACGAACACAGTTCCCAGAACGAGCTGCTCTCTCAGGTACCACAGGGCAGGCTCTGCAGCTGTGTGGCCCACAGAAGGCTGGCATTGGGCAGGGGAGTGAAAAAGGACTTTGGGGAGGGGGTCACACCATGTGACACCTACTGTGCCATGCACTATTCCAGGCACCAGAAACAAGGGGAATAAAACAAAGCTGGTGCTGCCTGGGGAGACAGACAATCAAGGTGACATCAGACACAGGTGACATCAGAGAAGACCCTCCCCTGTGGAGCCCCTCCTATGGAGAAAGCAAAAAGGAAAGCACAAGGGGGGAGGGCGGAAGGGCACCTGTGGCAAAAGGGGCTGTAGCAGGGTGACTAGGGACCTTTCTGAGGGTGATGCCTACCAGGATTGGGGTCCCTGCGTCAGGGGGCTGTCAGCAGGTGAGATTTCTCTAAGGAGAGTTACACATACTTGTTGCCTGGCTAACCTGATCAATTCTAGTGCAGACTTCAAATTAACCCTTCCCCAACTGCCACTGACAATCGTTTCAATCCCATCCCGAGGTCTCAGAAACTTAAGCGGTTTAAAGTCATATAAAAGAACTCAACCAGGAAGGGTCTTTTGCACAACCTGGTTTTCTCCATGTTAGGGAAAATTCTGTAAGGCCAGACACTTGTGCCAAAGTATCTGAAAGCTCTGTCTTTGAGAATTTGGGGCCAGATGTAAACGGAGAGACCTGAAAAGGTCACAGATATCAGGATAGAGACTACCTTCAAATTAGGGACATTCAGCTAAATGATGAGCTGGGTTTCCTTTCAAGAAGCATCTACAGACCCCAGTCAGGACCCCCCTCTCATTTTGAGAGCTGTTAATTTCTGCTCTAATAAAACTATCCTGTGATGAAAACCTTAAAAAAAAAAAAAGCATCTACACATATATGTTTAAATTCGGCCCTTATGGTGCTCCAAAGGTAGACGGGGCACATGTTAGCTCCACAAACAACAAACTGATTCAAGTGCGGACAGGCCAACTACTAGGCCAAAGGCCGACAGCGAAGTGTGCAGTGTGTGCACATCCAGTCTACAAGCCCCAGGCCTGTCCTCTTGCCTTCCCCCACTCCACGGGCACCTGGCCCTGGTAGGGTGAATAGTGACCGTGGGATGCCTTCTCCTCACAGGATTCCAGGTCCCCCAGACCCCCTGGGATCAAGACATGCAGGATGGGACTTAGCACCTCTCAGGCCACCCTCTGCCCCTCACCTCCCCCACCCCTCAGAAGTGTGCTGGACCAGTGAGCCAGGGCGGGGGAGGGATGCAGGTGAGGGAGCTCCCAGGGACAGCAGGGCACAGAAGTCCTGCACTGACTGGGCAAGAGGGAGGAGAGACACAGAGCAGAGGGTCTGCTGCCTCGGGGCACAGCCTAGAGGAAAACCCCAGGTGGGAGAGGGTTCCCACCATCTGCAGGATGGACAGCCTGCCTGGGATGACGGCTGTCAGGGCCAGCGGGCTCTACGGGATTGGACTTTTGTTCAAACGCAAAGAGACTGCACGTTAGTTCGGTGGGGAAGGAAGGCAGCGGTGGTGTGTGGGCTGGTCTCAAATGATTCTCTGAAAACACCGCTGAGATCTGGGGGACCCGGGGGACTCCTGTGTTGGGCTGGGTGACTCGACCTGTGAACACACATCTCAGGGCAAACACAGGGACAACTTTATTTCCTGAGCTGTACAAGTACTAAAGTATTCCCGATAGACCACCAGCAGGCTCGCACACTAACAATGCCAAAGACACAAAGGTCTGCATGTCACAAAGGCCATTTCTGACCAGACCTACACAGGGCCCCTCTAGTGGGGTAAAACATGAGCACTGTCCTGCTAACAAGGCTGCCTGGCACCCAGGCCCACCATCCCTGGAAAGGCCAGGGCTCTGCTCTCTGTGGCCCTGGACAGTCCTCTCTGCTCCTCACCCAGGCCGCCCATGCACGGCTGCCGACTAGACCAGGACAGTGAGATCAACACGCTGCGGGGTCACCTCAGAAGCAGATATGACCCCACCGTGAAGGAAACATGTTCCTGCTACGCTCAGCATCTGGATGTGTTTCACTGACAGCAAACCTCTCCCATACGGTGAGCTGGAAAGTTCCTCCTGACCCAGAGACCCTGTGATGGCGAACCTCACTTCTGTCCACTGTGAGGTCTCTGCACATGAAGCTGAGAAGCTCTCCTCCCAGGACTGCAGCCCCGTCTGCGCAGCCATTTCCTAAGCTATTCGTTATGCAGTTTCAACCACACTTCACTTAATTTTTGAATTACATGTTTTCATTCTTAAACACCTTTTGAAAGTACCAAGTCGACTTTTTAAGTAAAAATGCTGTTGCGTAAGTAACAAGAGGAGAGCTGTAATCACTACACCAAACACTCTTCAATCTAGTTTCACAGTTAAATGGGAAAGACAAACCCAACATTCTGCATTTCACACGGAGAAATACAAACATCTTCTACCATGCTTTTCCAAACCTGAAATGACTGTCTTTTTTGACTAGGCAATGTTCATTATTTAAATCAACAGAAGAGTCAATCGTGGTAGTTTTAAAGTAAAAATTCGTTTCCTTCGTGCACCGTGGTTCACTGGATTGGTCCTACCATTTCTGAGCTAATGAATAGCTAGAAACATTCCCATCGTTGGCAACAATTTCCCAAGTGTTTTTCGGTCTCACACCACTTCCCCCTGCACTCCCTTCAGACCCCAGGGATGCAAATCCATCCAGAAAAGCATATTTTCCTGATGAATATTTATGAAGTTATGGGAAAACTTTGCTAAACTGTGTTCCAGCAACGACAAAGTCAGAGCTTCCTCCCCCCGGAACAGCGGCGGCGGGTCCCCTACCTGGGCGCCCGGGCGGTCCGCGCGGAGAGCCATGGTGGCGCCGCCTTCGTCCCGCCTCAGGGGGAAGCGTCTCCATAGAGGCCGCCGCCCGAAGCCATGGCGCGAGAGGGGCCCGCAGTCCGCGGGGTGGGGTCCCGGCCGCGCCCCCTTCCCGCGCTGCGGCGGAAGAGGAGGGCGGACCGCGGCGGCGGGGCTGGCGGGGCGGAGGTCTCAGCTCGCGGGGCCCCGAGGGGGCGGGGTCTCAGCTCGCGGGGCCCCCGAGGGGGCGGGGTCTCAGCTCGCGGGGCTCCGAGGGGGCGGGGTCTCAGTTCGCGGGACCAGACGGGGCGGGGTCTCAGCTCGCGGGGCTCCGAGGGGGCGGAGGTCTCAGCTCTAGGAGCCCCGAGGGGGCGGGGTCTCAGCTCGCGGGGCTCCGAGTGGGCGGGGTCTCAGCTCGCGGGGCCCCGAGGGGGCGGGGTCTCAGCTCGCGGGGCTCCGAGGGGGCGGGGTCTCAGCTCGCGGGACCAGACGGGGCGGGGTNCTTCCCTTTATGGAAGTAAAACAGTAAAATATGGCAAAAATGCACAGTTTGGTCTTCCATCTTCAACTTGTTGTAAAATCTCCAAAACTCAACCAATCACTCAATTTTTTTTAGAATGAAGCTAGAACTGTCAGCTGTCAAATGACATACCAATAACCTACATGCAAATGACTCTAATACTTCCAAAATGAACTAGTGCCACCTGTTGCAAACATGCAGCATGACTTTTCTGACAACCGAATGTATTAACATATTTTAGAGAGCCACATACTCTATGATTCCATTTATATGAAATATGCAGAGTAGATAAATCCATAGACAGAGAGCACATTAGCAGTTCAAGTGCTGGGAGAGGGTGCAATGGGGACGCACTGCTCAATGGCTGTGGGGTTTTAATATGGGGTGACAAGTTCTGGAACTGGACAGAGGTGGTGGTTGCACAACACTGTGAAAGTGCTAACTGCCACTGAATTGTTACCTTTAAAATGGTTAATAAGTTATTTTTTAAAAAATTAGTTGCAGTACCTTCCAGAAACTGTGCTAGTATATTTTTTCCTCATTTGTTGCTGTTGTGCTCTGCCCTCAACCCATGCACAAGCTTTTCCTACTTCGTGTTGTGCCTTGGGGACAGGTTACGTTCGTCTGAGACCACTCAACACAGTCACTGGTCACCTTTGAGTCTGTGCTGCAGTCATGGCCGTGACACACAAATGTCAGATCGAGAACTAAATACTCATATCCCCAATGTGGTACTCCAGGCTGACTATATCCTCATTTCAATTCAGTTTTCTTTAGTCTTCCTGAATCCACAAAGAAAGCTCTGAGACCCTTGAACAAGTGGAGTTCATGGCCTATTGATTTGGACACTTCTACCAAATTGTTGTTTTTTTTAAGATTTTATTGGGGAATTGGGGGAGAGGAATAGCACTGGGGAATCAGGGGAAGGGGAACAGACAAGTTGCTGTCCTTTTGTTCTTCAGTCTAGTTGTGGAGGACGTCGCTTCACTGGCCCATGTTG